ACATGTGACCGGCACGATGTTGTGACGTCTGTATCCTGGACTCAAAGTCGTCATGTAATTTAGCGGGTCAACAAGAGTTTGGTGTTGCCACTGCGTGCCGATCAGAGCCGAGGCGATTTTAAAATGGGTCACACGCCGAGTCGTCTGACCCCGGTAGACACGTGTCCGCGAGCTGTTCCCACTTCCACTTAAAGCCGATTGTCACCCATTACCCACGCTGTCAACTCTCAGAAAGTTGTCCTTCAGTTCAGATGCGGCTTTGTTACACCTCCTCTTGTCAGAGTTTCTGTCAGTTTCTAAATGCTTTGTGTTGGTAAACAAGGCTTCTCACAGGCACCTCGACTTTCCTTGCAATGTTCCTACAGGATAGACCTAAACTTGTAGGTGTTATAACAGTCTGTCTCTTCCATCGCTAATTGCCTTTTTCTAAACATAATTTTAGCAACACAGCTGATGCTCACAAGGTTTTGTATCCCAATGCGTTGCAACACTGCTTTTGTGCAAACAGATGGGGTTGTAAGCAATGTTCCCGCTATGTTTTCATGTGTCTGAGCATACACATGAGCCCCCTGAGTACACCCAGAAACACTATGAGCAACATCAAATATGCACACTGAGGCCACACACCAAAATAACACCTGTTATAAACCAGGGATAAGTTTATGAAAAGAATAAATGATTACAGCAGCAATTTCCATTAGTTTACTTTCTATTCAAATGATTTGGCCCACTTAAAAAATGAAAATTGTTTTCCATGATATGTGTAGTAGGCTATGCTATATGTAAGAGTCCTGCTTTGGTTAGGATGTGGGTCATGTTCTGGAAGAAATGAGACCTTTCAAACATTACTTTTGTTTGTATTGAAACATTCACATTTTGCACAATAAAATGCATGCTGAAGCCTGTTTTGCTGTATAGTATAAATTCCTATAACTCTTTATGTGTAGATTTTCTAATTATACTTTTTTTTTAGAGTTTCTACTGACATAAATTATATAATAGTATAAGCATTATTGATGAATATCCATAAATACAAAGTCTTAATAATTGTCACTATGAACATGTCTGAACTACATTTGATCTATTTTTCGAGCCTGTATTTATCTCCAATGGTTTACGAAATATGTACATTTAAGACAATTCCTGGATGCTGTTTTGATATAATCAGTAAACCAAACCTTCTATTACAATTAGCACTGGATACTTGAAATGTAGTTAAAAAAAGAGCTCCTTTTTTGCTTCGTCATGTACTTGAATTTGTAAAAATAAAAACAAAAATAAAGAGTCACATGGAGCATCATGTTAATGTGCATGTTGGATCAGGGCTTTTACAAACCAGTAAGGCAGTTGTTTCTCTATTCTATGTTCATGGTTGGTTTTAAAGGCACACTATGCAACATTTTTCAGTTAATTAATGTGTTCCATAACGTTTTGGATGATTAAATTAGTAATTTCAGGTTGAACAAAGGTATTCTCGGCCACCCTGGTGGTCTGTGGGGGAAATACTGCACGTGCAATTGCAGGAGCACCAACCCGCACCCACAGGCTCAGAAGTCTCGCGAGAGTCAGTCTTGCTTTACGGCGAGAACTGCTACACGCCCCCAGTTAAAAGCATTCTCGTTGCTAGCACAGTGGCGATCTTTGTGCAGTTATGCTACGTTCACGCAGCAAAAGCAGCAAAATCGCGTCTGCTGCTTCATTTTTGCTGCTTGTACCAGTTAGTTCTGACGCGGCTGAAGCAGCTTTGCTGCTCTGGCTGCGCGGTGCAAAAGTGTGTCTGACGCGCGTTGGGCGGAGCTTCACTATCCTTTCTCTGCCTTGCAGCTATATTTGCTGTGATCAGTGGGAATAAAGTAGTTTTAATATGTTTTTAAGTGAGAAAATACACCTGAAAACGCAATCAGTGCAGTCAGTTCATTCAGATTATCATCCTGCCTTACAATATTTTTTCTGTCGGAGCCGCTCAGACCCCCACATACCAGCGGATGCGCCGACAGTAGGAATCCCTTCATCAGCAGCCTCTGGCCGGGTCGCCTCCTCGCGGTTCACCGCGGCAGCTGGTAGGTGTTTTTCATCTAAATAATCCAAACTGCATATTCTGCCGGCAGATTTCTGCATTTTAAGTTAATTTAGGCGTCAATAAACTGTTTAAGAGGAGAGATCATAGCCTCTGATCATCAGCGCTGTGTCTCTCTCCCTGCGTCAGATGATTAAACGCGCCTGACGCGCTGCTTCAGCTGCTCAGACGCGCTGCGCCTGCTGCTCAAAAAGCGCCGCGGGACCTTTTGCTGCGCCTTGACGCGCGTCAACCATTGACTTTGCATGTAAACTCGCTGCTTCTGTCGCGCCAGCTGCGGTGTGAACGCAGCATTAGTCATTCGTTGCGTTCGCCTGTCTGCTAAGCTCAAAACAACCGCGCCTGGCTTGACGGAGAAACCAGGAGAACAGCTGTGCATATTTACGACACTGCACTTTTACTTTCGCCCTCTGGGGGGAGCCTCGCTGGAAAATCAACACTGGTTGCATAGTGTACCTTTAAGTTGAAAAACCAATGATACACAGTTTCAAAATAATACAGAAAGGGATGTTATTGTTCTAACTGATTTATAGTTTATGTTGGCTTTTATTTCATGTGCTGCATAGAAACACGGTTGAACCACTTTCAAATTAATCGATTTAGAACTGTATGAATCATAATTGAATCGATTTAGGACTTTGTTGAAAATACCCAGCCCTAATACACATGCGAGCACATGCACAGAAGAGAATTATTCCCAGATTAAATTTTAGCAGCAGGGTCCGGACCAGAAAAAACACCTTATTTTAACTTTTATAAAAGACAATCAGCTTTGTTATACTGTTATTTCTTGGCTGTAGAAACATTGAGACATGACTGAAGGTTCCGGGATGTTGAGAGAAGAAGCCTCTATAGCTAAAACCATATTAATCAATATTAATTTAAAATAATTTACTTCAGTAGTAAAAAATGTGTGTGCAAGAATTAAAATTTGGTTCGATTTTGTTTTCATGATTAAAATCATAGAAAACAGTGACTGTGGTTTATATTGTGAATCCAATTTCATTTAGGTTAGATAAAAACTAAGTCTATGCTGTTCTGACAGAACTCCAGCATCCAGTTCAACTCAGACATCCATGGCAACACTGGGTAAGGCGAAAAAAAAAATATATAATAATAATAATAATAAATAATCTTAAGTGTGAGCTATGAGAATGAGCAGAAGAGTGCTTTAGCTCTTTTTTTTGGCCACAAGTGGCAGTACGGTTAGAAAACTCCCTAATGTCTCTTTAAGGTTGCTGAATAAAAAGGAAAACCAACCAATCTCTTTATAAGGTAGTTTTCGAAATTGTGTTTCAAATTGTGGTATTTTAAATTTGAAATACAAACCATTTGTTTCCAGAACATTGCAAAAGACACTTCATATATACATGTACAGGTAAATAAAACAATACATGTCTGTTTGCATAACGTAGGTTTGAGGAAGTGTGGAATCTCTCTCTAGGTCAGCTGTTGCACTGATGTTAAGACATGTCACTGATAAATTAACTAATGTAGGATAAAATATCCTTGGAGACTCTTTCACCCTTCCCCCTCCCCCTTTCTCAAAGCAAATCAGACCACAGTAACCTACAGTAATTACTTTGACATTACTCATAATTTATCTCTATGGACACAAATATGTCCTGAAATTTGTCCTTATGTTCTTTTTTTCAGAATGTCTTCTGATTTATTTATGATAATTATTAGATCTAGAGGATTGAAAGACTACTGCTGATTAATTAATAACCTTATATAAAGTCAGACCCTTATTTTCTGGGTATTGATAAAAAAACAAAACAGAGCAATGTCTTATTGGCCATTTTTATCACTTAATGTCTGTCCAGTTTGTGGTTGTACAAAAACTCAAGAGACACAAGGAGATAGCAGCAACTATTTAGATGCTCACATAAAACACAAAACCAGAAGCACAACATTTTTTTTTAACCTAAAACACCTTTGATGCACAACTAGATTTACCAGCATGATATCTCTCAAAATTTCATTTTGGCAAATAGTAAAACTTTTGAAAAAATGCAAAGGGGAACAAATAAATTGAAGCCCATCCCGTCTCCCCATGGTAAGGCTGCTCTGGTCTAAAGCACATGGAAAACGTGCACAGGCATCCTTGAATTTTTAGGTAAAAGCTTTGTCAGAAAAAAACTTTTTTGCTACTCATGCCAGCTTCCGTGCCAATCACCATATTTCTATGACCACTCCTCTCCCAGCACAGCCATACTCACAACCAAAGGAAGACAGGGTCGGGATTGCTGATATAGGCTCAGACGCCTCTAAAAAAACAGCCTTTATTTTGTCTCATGCTGCCGTTTTAATGTCTGAATTCATTCTCAGCTTTGCTCAATCTTATGAGACAAAACAATTGACCCTGGCCCATTTCAACTCTAAAGCTGTGAATGAACACAGACCTGAAAGGTGGGAGAGGGAAGAATAGAAGTGACCCATGCAGAGAATTCTTTTACCAAAATGTCTTACCCTGTCCTTCACTATGAGACACTTTGCAAGGGGAGGAGACAAACAATGGACACAGGGTTAGTCATGAAGGTTCAAAAACACATCTGCTCCAGGTGTCTCCAACCCAGGAACGTATGTTAAATGCTGAGAGACATAAACTGTCTGAAAGGTAGCAGATTCCTTCTGCTCAGTAGATTCAATAATCCTTCAGTGGGTTTATGCAAACACTGGCTTTATTCCAAACTGATAGCTCACCATCTTGCATCCTTTTTTTTCTTGCTTTTGAGTTTGAAAATTATATATTTGGCAACATGAAAAAGATAAGAAAAAAGAATCTATATTTCCACATGTTTCGCATTCATTGACAGAGGTCTTAGCTCCAGGTTTGAAAGCAGCCAGTGTACTTTTTTAAGCCTTATAGGACATACACATCATATTTGTGGCACATAGAGAACACAAAAGAGATGCTAACCACTTTGTCCTCCTTTTGTGGCATGCAGTCCAGGTAGCAGAGAGAATTAAGAAACGTGAAGAAAGGATTGGAGAAAAATGGGAAAGAGGTTTTGTCGATAGCAGAAACAATGCGGGGAGTAAAATGTAAGGGAAAGGGAAATTAGTGATGTAGATAGTGTGGAAGAAGAAGAGGCAAAAGACAGAAGGGAGACAGAGGATGTGGTGCAGAAGTTATTTACATTCTGCAGAATTGCTAAACATTCTTCATACTTAGTGAGTTTAAAGATGGTGGACATAACCAAATGCAAATGCACGGGGGTAGCTGTTGCAGGTACATGCATGAACCAGCTTGGCATGATATTAGCATGATGTAAGGATAAAGATCTCCTGCAAAAGGATGAACTCAACTCATCTAAAGCCACATTGCTCCACATTCATCTTTCTTTTTAGCCTTCTAAGCACATGCTTAGAAGGGGCCGCCTTTCACAGTTGCTTTTTACATCTCTGCTTCTCTCTCCTTTAACCCCAGTCGGCCTCAGCAGATGGCCGCTCACACTGAGCCTGGTTCTGCTGGAGGTTTCTTCCTGTTAAAAGAGAGTTTTTTCCTCTCCACTGTCGCTACAAGCATGCTTAGTCTGAGAGATTGCATTCAAGTCAATGAGTCGATGCAATCAACTGGTTTACCTTAGATAGAAAACTTTGAATCAATTTGAATGTATGATCTGGTTGAACTGTAAATGCCTTGAGATGACGTGTTGTGAATGGTGCTATATCAATAAACTGAACTGAATGCTTGTAAAAAATATGTTACTTTTTTAAACCATTTAATATATTCATGTCTCTATGTTGAAGGCATCTTGTGTACTGTAACATCTCCATACTTACTTAAGCCAGTAAGTCAAAATTTCATTTTGACTTACTGGCTTAAAAATAAGTAAAGAAAAACGTATCTGTATAATTACCACTTTACCTAGAATTAAGTCAATTAGAACAGGCACGAGTATATAAATTTTAATAAATTTTGCTTGTTTTTGTACTTTATAAATATGAAATGACACTAAGGGCCTCTTAGTCACTACAAGAAACCACAAAGACAAGAGATGGATTGCTAGACACAACATTAAGCCCTTTCCATGGTCATCTCAAGTTCTCAGATCTGAATCCTATAAAAAATATGTAAGCTGAGCTGTAAACAAGACAGCATAAGAGGGGATCGGGGCTGCAGAACTAATTAATTAAGCTTATAACAATGCTATAAGGTTATTCCTTGGTATTTCATTTGATCTCTGCATTTCTAATTCTCATGACTTATACTCTCTGAGCAGCAGTCCTCACATTCCTGGAGAACTGAGTGGCCATCACACTCTTACATAACACAGGTGCTTTGTTCGATTTCAGCAGCTGCATCCTCCAAAGAAATCGGTCTACCTGGACTGGTTCCTTCGGAGGCTTTGAAAATAAGGAGGCCAGAAGAGTTCAGCTATAAATTCAAACAGGTCCAGCCTTCCCCAGCTGTCACCACGCCTCACTTAGGGTAAGCTCTGTCACCTAGCAACCGTGGCAGTCGACTCACAAAGCAGAGAATGGATGCTGAACTACTTACTATTGTTCTTTAGGATATGAAACACATAATCCATAGTAATGGGTTTCTGGTAGTATAAAGAGACTTAATTTTTTTTAGTGTGTGTGTGGGAGGGGGGTGTAAAGTTTATAATGTTTTATTGCTTTTAATATTTCAAAGTTTTACAGAAATTCTAAAATTAATAGCAGGAACAATAAGGGGAGAAATTGCAAAAAACTACACTGGACTTTTCTGGATATTAAACATGGAAAAACACAAGAATTTCACAACATAAAGTGACAGTGTAATGGCTAAATTCTTAGACTTTGTGCAAAAAAGATCAGTGAACATTTGATCTGTGATTCATAAGTCGCTGTAACGATTATCCTGCTTTGATAAATCATATATAGTGATTAAGTTCGTCTTTTGTCATTTCCACATTTCAACATGTCTTGTGTTTAAAGAGATATATGAATGAATTCACCAGCAGGAAACTATTTTTATCCAATAATCTGAGTGATATTTCAGGTCTGTGTACATGCGATCCCAGTATGATTGCAGTCCCAACTGGGATGAGTGAACACTGAACAGATTGGGCAGCAGCAGGCTGAGGGTGGAGGGCCCAGATTCAGGTAAAGTAAGCAGAAGGAGAGCTCTCTTAAGTTGGAGGGGAGCCCAGACAAGGCTTAGATGGAGGAGGGCTAAGTCCTAAAATAGCAAAAAAAAATGTTGGGTTAAGGGTTGGAAATCACAATGTTCTAAATTGGAGCGACCTGATGTTTATAACTATTAATTGGCTGTTTTACTTTTTTAAACCTTGTCAAATATGACTACTAATGGTCATAGTGTCACTTCTGTTGAATAGATGTTTTAGAAATAGCAAACTGTGACGAAAAAAAATCTGCCATATGTTCAAATTTGATCCATCTTAAGTATTTTAGAATTAGATAAGAACTGTTCAAAGGGTAGATTAAACTATCATACAATTTTTGTTTCAAAATTAATTTTAGCTCACAATGGAATTTATACAATAGGTTCATTATTCAATTAGTTTATCAAAATGGTTTTAAGTTTCCACCCTTAATGCCTGTTGTTTTAAATTATGTCTTAATGTTCACATTAAAAGAAAATAATAATCTGGATAATCGGCTCTACAGTATGTGATCCTTTATTACTTTAAAAAGGGGTAAGTTATATGCACTGATTTCCTTCTTTTGATAATAATTGTGCCTAAAATAGTCTGCAACAAAAAACGGACAAACTGTGTCGCTTTTTCTAGGTGGTAATATGCTAAAGAGATACCAGGTGACTGAAGCTCCTTTTTTGTTCTTTCCAGTCCTGGAGATGTGACTTGAGAAAAGTGACACAAAAGCTCTCATGCTTACTGTGACAAATACAGTGTCATTGCAACACAAAACCCCAAATAGTGTGATTTCTTGTTTAAGTTTGCAAAGCGGCATCAATTCAGAACCATTCATGGTCCATTTTAGGGGTAAAGCCATTCATTTCACACACTTTGGTTTTTCAAAGCGTGCAAGAAAGCAAGAGGATAACGCATATAGACACAGCACAAAAGCAGGGAGGAGCAGCTTTATATTATCTGCAGCAGGAATGAAGTAGGTGAGAAAAGAGGAAAATAAAAAAAAAGAGGAGTATGCCAGAGTTAAGGAGTCTCACATTGTTGGAGCGCAAAGAGACCCGCCCTCCACAGCGAGCGCAGAATTTGGTCTGGCAGTATGAGCAGAGGTGACCACAGCCATCAGCAAACTTTGTCTTGCGGCAAATGCCGCAGGTGGGAGCGTCATCCTTCTGCTGCGTCGGCTGATGACGCGTCTCGACCCCGATGCGACGTACTTCCTGTTTGTAGCTCTCAAACTGCTGGTGCAGTGTCCTGGAAGAGATATTATAAAGGTTGGCTTTAGAGATTAAGCCCGCAACTTTTAACACTTCTAAGAACAATTTCATCCACCCTAAAAATGACATTGAGATAAAACCTTTTGAATAAAAACTACTCTTTGAAAGATATTCAAACCCTTGAACTTTTTCTATTTTTCTTATTTCATACTACTATGTATTTTTACGTTGTGCTGTAAACCATCTAATTTTAATTACCTATAAATCATCACAACAAAGTGCATACATTTTGAATGGAATGTTTTTGAAAATGTTATATAAGAAGCTGAATAGTGCAGCGTGGACATGTATTGAGCGACATTTGTTTTTAAAGCTCTGGCGTCAGAGGTCATTTACTTACTTACTCTGTGTAGTGTGATATTTAAATTTCCTGTCATTTTGGGAATGCCTAAGAGTTTTATTGGGAACCTAACATCTTAAAGACCAAGGAACACAACACACATTTCAGGGACAAATACCTGGTAGGTTACCAACCCTATCCCAGGCTTTAAACATCTAACATATGTCAATTTAATCCACTGTTTGAAATCACAGAGATACATTTAATAGCTGAATGGCCCAGTTAAAGTCAAAACTGGTGGCTGGCATGAATCCCCATTTCATTTACCAGTCTAGCTCTGTCCTGTTCCTCATCACTGCTCATCTTATCCACCTGCTCCTGCTTTTATTTTAACTCCTTGGTCCCAGCCGTCAGGGCCAGACCATTCCTGAGCCTTGAGCTTGATCTTATGTCAGCTCTGCAGCCTTGTAGGCTTCCATGTCTGGAACTCTCTGGCAGCGCCCGCTGCGTCTTGTCAGCCAACCGGCTGGAATCATCCTCGTTCTCTTGGCACGGACTGAACAGTCAAACCAGGTTAGTGACTCACGCATTCTAAATCATCCTCCGTCACATTTCCATAGTCACTAACCTGTGTTTTTCTCCAATAGACATTCTTGCCTCAGAAGCCCTAGCCACTGCAGCCTCTGCCGCTGCAGATCCGTTTCTGTCATTGTTTGAAAAAACTTTTTTGAAGTATTCCTCTATCTTTCTTGCCTGAATTCTGGGTCCTACCTCCTGAGCCACTACACATCCAAACTGACTAAAAAGGGATCGATTTAGCAAATATAGAATGAAAAACCTTTTCAATGTTTTAATATGCAAAACTGGTAGGAAAATATCTCAAAAGTCATAAAACTGTAAATGGGGTCTAGCACCATTGTTCTTCACTGCGATAAAAGTACCATTGATGGTTATGGAGTACTTGTAAGTCTACCAGGAACATTATTTTAATTTTTTGGCGGGACAATTTTAAACGTATTACTTTCATTAAAAGATTAGTAACATTTAAAATCATTAAGAATAACATAACGTTTATTCAGAACATTCGTGGAATACCAGAATGAACTAAGGAACCAGATAGAAAGCCAAGAACAAGTACAGATGGAAATTGTCTCTTTTTCCACTAAAATCAGAGATTAGATTTTGAAATTACACCTAACCCAATGTAATTACTCCGGTTATGGGATCAAAAACCAGCAGGATATACAATTCTTTATTTTACCTGCTAAGTCCTACAGTAATAACTACATGGGCTGATTTCAGTGAATGTATCAGAATTAAAAACAATTTTTTTTGTTAAATTAACCTTACAGTGCTGCTTTAAACTTGATATGTTCTTAGGAGGTACTTTGCTTAAAATAATAATAAAAAATGAAATTTGAAGATTTTTCAAATATAAAAAAGTCAAGGAAGTATTAACAATTTTATAAAGCATTGGATGTTACAGATCCAGACAATCATGAAGCCAACAATTAAAGCAAAACATGTTCTGTTTGAAAAAAAATAAGGAGATCTTCAGCTTGCTTTGTTAATCAGTGGTTCATGGGCTTTTCTCCTGCCTGTGATGGAAATAACATGCGAGATAATTGCAAATCAAGGAAAGCTAGCCCCCCCACACTGTCTTTAAACTGAACTTTTTGAAGTGTAGTGCGTTAAGGGCTGCCGACATGCTCTATAGGCATCTCACAGAGGGGGAGTGAAAACTTCTTCCTTCACAAATACAGTGAGAGTTTGTCCGTCACCTGTTTGGTCTTAAGCTCAGTAAAACAGAGAAAAACGTCCTTCTACATTCTCTTATTTCGCTCTCTAAATCAACTACCGCTACTAATAGAAAATGAGTGATTCTTAGCAGCCTTGTTTACCTGGATGTGTTGAAAGCAGACATGTCTTTGATGATATGACCTTCACTTTGTGGCTGTAAAACAGACTGAAAACACAACTCCTCATATGCCGAAGGAAGCTTTTTCCTGTAAAAATGACTAAACAGACAATGATCCCTCACCATGTCACATCCACAGCCAACTAGCGATGCTTACAGATAAAGGTGTGAAAGCAAAGCAAAAATAAAAATGCTGTTTTTGTCAGTCTGTAGTGAAAAAAAGTTGTCCACACAAAACTAAGAGGTAATCCAAAAAGCAATTCGAAATCCATGAATTAAGAAATAATTTCAACAAGAAAAGATATTGTTAGCACACGGATTGGGTCTGTTAAGATGTCTGTGGCTTAAATGCTGCAGTAACAGACAGCCTCTCTGCACAGTTGGAACGGGGAGGTGACTGGCAGTCTGGGACTCATCATGGCCAATCAGCTGGTATGTGGAAAAGGCTGGAACATTCAGCCTGTGATGTGAAATCTCCAATAAGTTCTTGAGAAATAAGAATTTTACCATAAAAAGGTTTTATCCTTTGGGATGTCAGCTTCTGTCAGAAGCAGCACTGATGTTGTCTGCAATAGATAAGGCTCTTAGGGTATCTCCTTTTTTTTCCTCAAAGTTTTTTATTGTCATTACACTGTCACAAGTACAGAGGAACGAAATTAACTCTGTGCATTTAACCCATCCCCTTAGGGAACAGTGGGATGCTATTGTGCAGCGCCCGGGAAGCAGTGTGGTTTTAAGGGTATTTGCTCAGGGACCCAGAGTGGCAGTCTGTGGGAGTGGGGCTCGAACTCAGGACCTCTGGATTCCAAGAGCAATGTCCTAACCACTAGGCCGCCACTCCCCAATCGAAAAGAGGATTCTGGGTTTAATTCATGGCCCGGGGTTAACCCCAGACCGGGGAATTTGCATGTTCTCCCTCTGCATGCTTTTGTTCTCTCCGGGGACTCTGTCTTGTACATGTACAGATTAATGACCAAGGATGATGATATAAGGTATATTGATTTATGAACAAGATTTTAATGCAGAGTTGTTTAAAAATGAGCTGTTCATTACTTAAACAGAGGAGTTTCCATTGCTATTGATCTTCCTGTTTAAAATATGTTTCTAGTCAAAGCAATCCTCTGATTAAAAAGTTAGACTATGTACACAGCAAACATTTGCTAGATATACATGTTTTCTACAAAGCAGTTGTTTCTCACAGGATGATTTTTAACTACACACTTTCTCCTATCTCCATTTTCCACATAAATATATCATCCAGTTATCTATAAAGAAAAACCGTGCACGTGTGTCAATGGTTAAAGACGTATGGAATACCTAAGGTATTTAAGTGGTAACAGTCTAATCAGGCTTTAGGGTCAGTCTTTAAGGGTACTTAATTTGAGTTTTTGAAGAGTCCAAAAGTTAACTAAGTTATCTATTACAGATATGGACTGGTTACAGGTATATGGTAATCTTTTTTGATTAAGGTATGTTTTACTATTGCTTTCTTCACATTGTTGTAAAAAATGTCTTCCAGTTTCTGTGCTTTAGTTATTTCACCCATACTGTATGTGCTGGATTCCAGTACTCAGCCTCTTCAGCATCCCAAAAAAGTAAAAAAAAAAAAAACCAATGGACTTTTTTTTAAGTTTTCAGAATAAATGATCCTTGGTAAAATCAGTTGTTTGTCAGATCCTCCTGTTAGACAACCTGTCTTTTACCCTGCTGCATCACATTCCCCTTTCCCATATATTTCTGTCCCCAAATGTGTCCCACGCTTTCAAGAAAGATCGGTATGTGTATCCAATATTTTATGAATGAAAAGCACAGTTGAAGTTTATGTGGACACGGCAGAAAACAACCACCCATCACACTTAATAACGCGATATAAATATGGTAACTTCAACAGGCAAAATAACAGCCAAACAGCAGGTCTGTTAAACAGCTGAATGCAGCCTGTATACCTGCGCAGACAGCCCAATTAATTAGACAAGTTGGTTTACTCTGGGTATTAAATAAAGTATAAAAAAAGTTCTATTTATTTATTTATTTTTTGTGTGTCTTACTCTCTGGATAATACTAAATGATTGACATTTAAAACAACTGGCAAGATACCCAGACCTGGGCTGTCAGGCAAGTACATCCTGAAAGTAAGATGCTGAAGGAAGTCTCTGAAATCCCCAGTCTCTCCTCACTGGACCTAACTGAAGCTCTACTGTCTATGTGGAAGTACATAAAATCAGGGCAAGACTGAACACGTTTAATTTTCATAGGAGGTCTGCAAGGAGGAAATATTTGCTCTGTAAGAGCAAGACTAAAAAGGCCCACTTACAGATTTGACAGATCTGAATAGAAATGTGTTCATATTAACTGGATTAAATGGGATTGGGAAGTGCCTTAAGATGGCTTATGTGGTAAAGTTAGGCAGTAAATGTATGAGTGAACTTAATTTGATTTTGATTCATGATAAATCGATACTAACTATTAAATATCTTAAAGGAAATTAAATGTGTTTGTTTCGGCCAAATGCCAAAAAATAAACATTTAAGATCAAAGCAAAAATCTATAAAGAAAAACAACTGCTTTGCTGTTAACATGTTAACAAATTATGAGCTATAATAAAACAGTTATCATAGATTCAAACTGCCACCCTTTCTCTCACAGATGTTCAGATGTTTTTTAAAAGGCTCTAAATTAACTCTTAGATGACTCGAGTTTGGAAAAAACCCACAGCTATTCCTCAGAATAAAAAAACAACATGACAGTAACGTCATACACCTGACCTCTGACCCACAAG